CAATATATTTGTATCATGACTTTTTACTCCCCAATACTGGTATTGACATTTGCCCCCAAATGGTCAGGCTCTAGCTGAGATTTGCATTTTTTTTTTTAATGAGGTGTAAAATCTTATGTCAATATTATTTAGTTGCAATTTCAAGGGAAAGTGAACAAAACCTCAATGGTATTTATATATTGTGTAAAATGTCTATATGATTGTTTTATAGGCTAATACACAAGTATTGCCTCAGGTTATGAGCTTCGAGGCTGAATGATTCAATCACATAAATGCCTCCATTTCCAAGCTTTCATGGTTTTGTGCTGTAATTGCCAATTCCCTTTCAATGTGAAACAAGGCTGTAGCTCTTTCAATTAGCTTGATTGTAACACCATGTCAGTATTTGTTACCACTCCAGTAAAACAATGCAATAAAACTTAATTATTTCTACACTGAAAACCAGCAGGTGGCAGCTTACAGGACTTTCACGCTTCAACATTTGGACTTCAATAACGAGTCCCGACAAAAAACTCTACTAGGTGCACTGCACTGAGAAAACATAACACAGGTAACGGTTTAAAACAGCCCGACTGTGTTGAGTTCTGCATTAGCAACTAGAAAAGGAAAAAAGGTACCATGACCGTTAGCAGGAGAAATACTTACTGGTAGAAGTCGGCCTCCTTCACAGCCTCCTCGCACCTCTTGAGTGTTTTGGTGTGCTGGTTTTGGAGTGACTGCAGGTCTGCCATGGCCCTCATGCACTGACTTTTCAGACGCTCATAGTCATGACTGGCTTTGGAATTTGGCCTTAAAGGAGAAAAGCAGCAAGGAATCAATACTTTATCCAGTAGCCTTGCACAGTAATATAGCTCAAGCTCAGATAGGGAGGTTGACCTTCCCGTTATATGAGAATTCATAAGATAGGAATGAAATGTTTGACGAAATATAAACAACATTCTCTTTTGGGGGGGAAGTTTGTACTGATGCAAGCAAAGCAGTCCTTCATCTCATCTGCTGCATATGAAATATAAAACATAAAAACACATTTAACTTAATTAAGCAGCCGCTGTCTGTGCCCTCTCTCTGCAGGGTAAAGTCAACATTATTCAGACAGTAGAGAATTTGCAGATTAAAATATGGCAGCCAGAACTGAGGACACCAACATCACAGTGCCTTTGACAACTAAGAGAGTGTAAACTAAACACTACAACGTCTCAGGGAAACAAATCTCAGGTCTGAGTGTATCGATGGATTTTACGCATTTCATTTTGTGAAAATAACATCTATACCAGACAGTTTCATAGAAATCAGCCAAAAAAGCCAAATAGTCACCAAAGGGAATGAAAATAGTAACAATAGCAACTTGGCAGCTAGGCCGCTATTATGCACCTGCAGTCGTCGAAGGTGGTCCCGGGCGATGCCAACGCCAGGCGCTTGCGGAGCTCATCCCTCTCCCTGGTCACCTGGCGGAGCTGGAACAGGATGGTGTCCAGGTTGTCGCCAGTTGGCCGGTTGTCGTTGATGGCTGGGGGTGGGGAGGACGCTTCACCGTTGACGGGTGAACCTGCAACATTGAGCACATTACCGGCGGCTGGGACCATTGATCAGCCCGCAGTAAAAAAAAGTTTCACTCGTAATCCACATTCAGAAGCTGCATTAATACACATGAGCTTTGCTGCTATTCAGTGGCATGGAAAAATAAAATTGGTACATTGTAATGCAGCCAACAGGACAGAACTTTTTGAAGCATGAAGCTTTGCAATCAACTTAAGCATTAGGAGGGAAAAGAGATCCTGTCCAACAAGCAGTGCAGCAACTGCGTGGCATGAAATTCCTGTTTAATATGCCGGAGGTTGTTCCGTGACAATTTAGCACAAAGATGGTGAAAATGTCATTGGATTTACAAGACTACACCATCTGTAATCTCTGATATGAAATTGAAAGGCAGAAGAAGCAGGATTGAGGTTATGTACTGGTGGTAATTTCTGCATGATTTAAACCAAGATCTCTGGGTATTTGATTAAGTGTGATTGGACTGCCAGGAAACCTTAAGTCTCTGTAAACACGTAATAAGTCCACACTGAAAGACTTCCTTTTTAGAAAAGGAAAAACTTTTTTTTCACCCTTGCTTTATGTAGCTATTACAGGATCTGGCAGCTCAATTCTACCTGTCATGACTGAGATTAAAATTCAGCAGATTGATCCTAACGCAGGGGGATTTGTCATTAAAATAACAAGGTCATTCTCTTTCACTCCTGTACACTTAACTCCATTGCCAAATAGATTCTGACAAAAAATGACACATCATTAATGAGTCATTTTCAGGCTTGTTTTTAACAAAGAACACCCAGGGCAGGAAATCTGAGGATTATGTACATCTTTGGCTCCACATTTGGCCCATTGGATGGTTTATGTAACACAGCTGAGTCATTTGGACTTTTGTCAAAACCAGGGAAACGGAAAAGCTTGGCGAACCTCCTTAAGGGGACATAGGGAGAGTGTTGTTGCCTCAGCGAGGGTTTTAAAGCAAAGGGGGAAAAAAATAAAACACTGACTTCCTGAACTCTGACACCCGGCAGACAATCAGGAATTATGCTAATATTGTAAAACAGTAAACAAGTCACAATGCAGGCGGCCATGACCTGGCATGACACACGCAGCAGAACAGTGCTGTGTGTTTTCTTGGTTCATCTTACATACCGACACTACTGAGGGAGCTGCTGCTTTCTGAGTCAGAGGGCATGGTGGACAGGACGCTGTACGTGGAACCTGCCAGAACACACAGAGAGAGATGGGACACATTCAGACGGACAGATACACTGATTATGTATTTATACACAAACCTGAATTAACCCCACACAGTCATGTAAAGAACAAATATTACAGCAGATATCGGCTTCATATTCCCTGCAGGGTTGTATGACAAATTTGGTGCAGGATTTATACTTGGAATAATAACTTCAACAAGGTTTCCTAGCAGCTCTATATTATCGCTCCAGACCGTCGACGTCGTCGTCATGAAACCTCCTCTCCCTCCTGTGCACTCTGCCTCGCTTTGATGTATAGTCCCTGTATGTTTCTGCTACACAGGCAGAATGTCACGGCTGAAATGGGATTTTCTCTTTTTATGTCAAGCACATGTGGAGTGAAAGAGAGGGAGAGGCTGAAAGAGAGAAAATGAATCTCTATCTGAATAGCTGTACACAACGTTAAGCTGCGGGATATTTCACACAGGCGACCAACGATCCATAGGAGAGGCGACGCAGATCCCCTCCAGATTTTTCAAAAGGAGCAAATGCTAGGTTTACTGGGTTTAAACCTGACTGCACGACTTCAACACATATCCAAACATTGCTGCTGCAAGATCAGCAGAGATTATCAGGAATAAAGTGCAACCAGCACAGTTTACAAAATACTGCCAGTGATAAAACTGAAAAAAACGGGAAAGGACACAAAGGAGCTGCTGATTGAAGCCATTTTAAAACAATGTCGAGGCATTTGAAAGATTTCTTTTTTTATGTGATTTTCAAAAATAGTAATTGATACATTTAAATCTGTAATTTAGAATTATTGTCATTGTTGATTTGTCTGTGGATTATTTCCTCGAAATATTTTTTGCAGACCGTCATTCAAAACCAAAAGTATTTCACATAAAATATTACAAACTGAAAAATATGTTAGTATCACAGGTGGGAAAATTGGCTTGTAGTCAGGTACACAAGATAAAAGCTCATAAAACAGTACAAAAATAATAATACGTGAATGATAGTGCAGATATTTTAGCAGAATGTCTCCTAATATAAGAAACAAAGCAACACCACTTACTGACCTATGAATAATAAAATATTACTAAAAATAATTAATTATCATATGTGTGCTGATTCATTTTCTACTTCTGTACACTGAAAAATGAGAGAAAATTTTAATCTCCACAACACAACACAATGAGGTTCTGTAATATTAATCTAATGTGATAAATGCAGACCAAACACACAGAGCAGGAGAATGTTCACTTGCTCCTAAGCAGCAGTCAACGGATTGACGCCAACTGTTCTCGATCTCCATCTCTGTCCATGCCTCCCCACTGGGTTTTGCTGCAGCTCTGGCTCCAGCCCCCAATGTGTGACAAGGCCAAGCCTAATTAACTATGAGCTCTGTGTGACTGAGCCACTCCATCTTAGGCCCTGCAGACAGAGGAGAGGAGGGCAAGAGGAAGGCACAGAGCAGAGGAGGACAGATGAAAGCAGATAGCCTAACTAAGTCGCAAAAGAGATAAGGAGGGAGGGTGTTTAAGAGACAAAGAGGGAGGGAAGTAAGATGAGACTGGAAAAAAAAGAGAGAGGGGCAGGACAGAAAGGCTTTTAATCTGTTCTGACATTCCCTGATGCTCAACACTTCTAGTCTGCGAAGTGCTCTGAGCACATAGTTTTGATTTCATATTGTTCCATCAGACAAGATGAGAACAGCTGCACAGCATTAGTACCCTACAATCAACACAGCTATGCAAATGACTCTTGCTCATTTCCATAGCTGCACTGAAAAGCAACAACTGACTTCTTGAACCCAGCATCTGACTGACGAGGTCTCATAGTAAAAGACGTGAACCACGGAGCGCTTTATTCCAGTTCAGCTGGAACATAACTCATTTTTAAAATACCGTACAGTCAGTACAGCTCTGTGCCAGAAAAAAGTCTAAACATGGAACTTCTTGAATGTTGTATTATGTGATTTGGACACCAAAACACTCTGATAAATTAAAATCCCAGTAATCTCTACCGCTGAGGACACGCGCCAATCACCAGAGAGCTATAACTCCCCCAACGAGGCACTACTGGGACAGTCCAATATCTCACAATCTGACTTGGCAACAACGGCAAACATGTGCACCGAAATCCTCATATTCAAATCAGTGTAATGAGCTGATGAGTTAACCCTGTGAGCGTAGCAACAGATGCAGTATAGATTGCAGATACGAGGTAGCTATCTGGCGGTCGATGGGTCATCGGCATTAGCCTTTTCCAACAGGCTTTTAATCATCGATGGCAATTAGCAGCCGCAGAGTCAGTGAGGCTGATCATTTGTAAACATGGACGCTGCATCAATCAAACAGGCCGCCATTAGTGCAGCATAGATCTGGTGGTATACAGTTGCAAAATACACTTTTTTCTGCCCTAACAAAGGACAGAGCAGAACTTAGAAATCAGTTGCAAATACAATAGCACTCTCTAGAGCTCATACCTCTGCCAAGGTCCAACAGTGGCCTTAAATTCAATCAAGCTGTACCCAATTCCACTCACTCCTATACACATTTTTTATAAACATTGGTAAATCTGCCAAAAAGGCATTTGACCCCTTTCCCACTGCCAGTAGAGGAGCCTGTCTGTTTTTCCCCCACAGTGCATCATGTTCAATGTCACAAACAAACTGAAAACTGAGGTGCTCTCTCACCTTGCTCTTGGAAAATTAGCACCTTTACACAGGTGTGATGTTTCCACCACTGCCGATCAGAGCCGAAGCCAATTCAAACCCACAGAGTAATTTGACCTGGGAGTGAATGTCAATTTAATCCAGTCCCATTGCGGACAAGAGCAAGATGTTGGTGAGTTTTTTGACCAATGGAAAAGGGGCAATCTATATCAGTCCCCTAAATATGGATGTTTTTTTCAGTAAGATGCATGAATTATTCCCTGTGAGAATGTCAAAAATGCCCCATGTTTAAAACAGTGAAAACAATATTTCCTAGGTCTGCCCATGTCTCCAGATCACTGCCAAAAAGTAATGAGTTCTTACTTGACCCATGTCCCATCCTTCTACCAATTTATGTGGAAATCTGTTCAGTATTTTTTTTGCATAAGCCTGCAGAAAAACAAACAAATAAACCAACAAACCAAAAAAACAAAAACAGGCAGAGGGAAAAAAACCTAATTGGTGGATATGTCAGACTTATGATCATCCACAATAACCTCGATACATTTACAGTTGTATGCATGATGACAGATTTCATCCGGAGCCATTAGATATGCTAATAAGGAGTGAGCATCTGTTAGTGACTTCGATCACGGGAAACACTGAAGGTGAGAGATATTCCAATGGGGGACCTGAGGCGACAGCGAGAAAGGCGTGCCACAGTGATCTAAATAGGTCAGGGGAGTACGCGCCCCACCTAAGGGCTTTTAATCCCCACCTCCTTTTTCCTCCACTCTGCCTTCCCTCACAAGCAATGTGCTCCACCACCAACAGTCGCTTCAGACAACCAGATTATGTTCTCCAGCACGCAAAGCAAGATGACATGTTGCCATGGTGAAGCTAGATGAGAGGAATAGTAAATTCTGCAGCGTGGTAAAAAAGAAGGAGCATGAGAGTTGGGAGGCTGATGGAGGAGAGCCTCATCAAACACAATTGCAAAGTCTGGCTTCCACCATCGGGTGAGACTAAATTATTCATCAGCTCCATAAAGTGTCTCCCAAAAAAATAACACACGTATAAATATAATCGCGATTGGCTTGTTGGTGCTGCCTCAAACTCTGTTAACTGGAGCATGCTGACAGGCCTTGAAATTATGAATTCAAAGCAGCCCAGGCGTCTGTCCTGTTCCTAAGAACACCACAGACAATATTTTCAGGGCCACTTGGTAAAAAAGCAGCATTAACATTACAAAAATAATATTGGGTGCTTTTCTTTATTAGCCCCTGTCAGCTCTTCTCACCGTCAGAGAGCAACAGCGAATAAAAAAAAATAAATAAAGGTTGCACTTGCGAAAAGGCACAGTTTAAATATTCTTTGTGCTCCTTCTCCTTTTGTGTCCTCGGGTCCACAGTCATTAAAACTACAGAAGCGCAAATAACAGCATCGCTAATAATACGGTTGAAACCTTCTGCCCACTAATTTTACAGCATGTTTAAGTGAGGATGAAGGATGTGTCAGCATTAAGCCAGCAAGCAGAAAGCAGTTTTTTTACCTCTCTGGCATCCTAGACCTCTAAATCCCGGCTGTGGTTCAGCTGCCTGTATTGAGGATGTAGTTTGACTTAGTGATGTTGTGACCCCACCTACTCTGTCTTCATCCTGGATACTAATCCAAAACACACTATATTTACTTAATACTCACAGTTTTTCAGTTTAATATATCTGCTTGTGTCACACAGTGTAAGTGTTTGGTGTTTATCTTGTAATATGAAGCTGTTACTACACATCACATCTCAACTGTGAAGACGTTCAAAGACCAACACAAGTCTTAAGCCTTGTGCAAATATTTAATCATTTCAACTTTAACATTTTTAAAGATGGTTTCCCTTGTCCAGCTCTCCTGCACTCTGGGACTTCCAGTAAGCTGTGAAGTGGGCCCAACTTCTGGGGAGGCAATGACACGAAAGGCCAAGATTCTGGGCAATGAGCCAGTGAAGCCTCGCTGCCGGGTAAAGGATTGATCATCTGATTTAAGGGGTCTACACGAAATATAAACAAGAAGACATCTAACATGATGACTTCATCAGCAGGATTACTCAACCGCACGCACATCGCCTGACTCACTGCTCTGGCCTTTGGTCAAACCCACCCACCTTTGGTACTCATTGGTCCATGCCTGTCCTGTAGCATGTCTCAAAATAAGATCTGTTATCGGAATACAAACCCATCTACCTCATATGCAGCAACATAGTCATTTTGGATTTGTGTAACAACCCTGGGAAATGAAGTGTAAAAACAAGGAGACATGTAGAAGATAACCGAAGCGTCCCTTAGCCCTCAGTTCAGCCGACCTGTTAGAACTGC